TTATGTTGTAGGAAAAGTGACTGTGTAATGTTATAGAGATTCGTTTTGCATGCCGTAATTTCTTTTTTCTTTTTTTTCTTCAAAAAGTGTGGGTCCCACAAAATGTTGTGGGTGTAGAAAAATTTGTTGTGTCATGTTAAATGACAAATGCAAAACCATGCTTTTATTGAATTTTTTGAACTTTTTACGGTGACTATATCGATATGCCTAAATTTTACGTAAAACATGTGTGCTTGTCTCCAACTTGTCTTGTACTTTTGATAAGGTTCGATTGCTATGTTTCCTAGCGTGCATCTATAATAGATAAAACATTATTACTTCACCACCAAAAAGTTTTTTCTTTGTTTGTTTTTAACTTAAGAGAAGCTCCAAATCTGATATCCCCTTTCTCATCACACGTTACTATCAATTTGCTTTCTTCATATCCTTGCCATGTAGTTTTATTTGATTTATAATTTATATATACCTAACTTAGCGAGCCTAATGTTTTACCGTTTCAAGATTGCTGGTTAGGAAGCGGCATAGAAGATGCAAGGTATAAAGAACTTCCTTTGTACCACATTACAGTTCACAGATATTTTTTATTTGGATATAAATTAGGAGACAAATATGGCTTGAACTTGAAGTTGATTGAGCTTTTTAAATTTTAAGGCATATTCTTATCTAAAAGCATATTGTTAATGTTGTCAAATAAGCTCTCTCCTTTTCATCAAAATGAAATTTTCAAAACAGTCTTCCATATTCCGTTGGAGCACTGCAGATGCTTTCTATGAGCGGCTACCTTCTTACCTCGCTAACGTCACAAAGCATGAGACAGATCAAGCTACAGTTTTCATTTCCTTTAAAACTTAATGCTAACTATTAGATTCGTTGAACTGCGATTACTATTTTATTGAGTTTAATATAAATATTTGTAATATCTTATGTTTCTTTGCAAAATTGATGGATATTATAAGTTTAGTTTCATTTTTTTGTTAAATTATTGAATATTAAATATAATATACACTACATAAATTAAAAATATTATTTAATATTAAAATGTGTCCTAACGTGTCAAAATTTACAATTGTTTAAAGTTAACGTATCGAAGTGTTATGTTGTGTCTCCCGTATCGGTGTCGATGCAACATAGATCTCATCATGGGTAGGAATACTTCCGAAAAATCAAAATAAATATAAAAGTAGGGTTTAATATTTCTAATGTAGTAGTTTATCTCCTACACACATATAAAAGTATGTGGGATCCATATGAGGAAGAGAGAAAGAAAACATAGGCTCCACTAGGGGTGTTCATCAATCGATTCAAACCGCGGTGATCGAACCAAAAACCAAAAATCAAAAAAAAAACCTATATATTTTAATTGAATTTGATCAGTTTTTGACTTGGTGAAAACTGATCCAATCCAAACTGATCAAATGTATTATATATTTATTATTTTTGAAAGATTGTGACTTGGAATCTTAGATGTTATTGATAGTAAACTATCTTTTTTAGTTTTTTATTGTCTATTAATCTATTTTAACTCTTCAAGAGTTTTAATATTTGTTTTAGTTTGAAGACTTAAATTTTTCAGTAGTTTCTAACTTTGAATGACTTTGTTTTGATATAGCTAGTGATTTGTATAGCTAAAATTTTAGACTTTTTAAAAAACCGAAAATCGATCCAATCCAAACCAAATAAAAATGAATTGGATTTAAAAAAAATCTAAACAGAATGAATGATTAAATGATCAAACAGAAAGAATTAGATTGAGTGATTTTTGCTTCAAAACCGATTCAATCTAGACCGTAAACACCCCTAGGCCCCGCACATTTTTATGTGTATATAGGAGATAAATTTATCTTTTATAATATAAGAAACAATATACAAATAAGGCTGACTAGGATTATGATCAATCATAAACCCTAAAGGTATGATTTTAAAGCCGGATACAAAGTTTAGAGGGGATAGATAACTGATAAAACTGGAGAAGTTTTAAAGGTATGACATGCATGCTCCAGAGGAAGTAGGCAGTAGAACTGTTTGCACTTGGTATTTCTAATTTCTATGGTTCCAAAAGCTCCTCTGGTCAAGTTGGAAACAAACGTTTGCGGTGCATATGAGTAGTTTGCAGAAAAAGTTGTTTTAGGTCTCTGCTCAAGGTTCCTCTTGTACTTGAACTCTAGGGGATTTTATGTTCCAAAGATATAAAGATGGGACCCAAAATTGTTCTCTGAAAAGAGAGCCTGATTGATTACTACGTTGACATGATTTTGATATGCAAGTTATTAGTTATAGGACGCAGAAAGAACCAAAAATATGTAACTCGCACGACCACTAACATCGTACCTTACAGTTACATGAGCTTTTTCTTTTTCTTTTTCTTTTTCTTTTCAATCTTATCTTTGCAAGTTTTCCATCACTAATAAAGACCCCTCGTGGCTTTTGTGTAAGCGAAAATGGTGGTATCCAGTCCTTTTGCCAGACCAATGTTTGGTGCTTTTTGAAGAAATGTGGGTGTCCCCACTAGAGCATTTTCCTTTGTGGCAACATAGCCTATTAGCTTTATACCAAGCTCTTGGGTTATAGCCTAGGCACTTCAACTTTTAACAAAGGGGACAAGTTGAACGGTATTTGTGAGTTGGGATGGTCCTAAAGTCTGAAATGCACGGTGGAAATTAGTGGTGATGAAAACAAAATCACCAATAGATTTAAGACATTAATGGCTAAATCAAACTAATATCATAATTGATTTAGGAGATTCGGTGTATCAGAAAAGTGAGATGAGGATTGAGGAGAACTCTTGGTGAGTGGCATCTGTACTCCTAGAACTTGCTAATCTAGTCATTCCCAGCTAATAACCAATCGGCCAAAAGCACATGAGCTATTTAAACTCATAATACTAGCAGTACAATGCCACATGGCAGTCATGTGGGATGTCTTACATGAGATAATAGAATATCTTTAGCATATATTATTTGCCTTTATCAATTAATTTAATCGATTCCTATAAGTGGTAAGATTTATAATTAATTCGTTTAAGTATGTTATAGCAGACCAATGCAATATGGATTGACTAAAATGTAAAGGGCCTAATCACACACGGTTAAGGTGAGAAGACTTTGGGTTGGGCTGTCTGTTTCTTGGGCTTGAGATAGTTGTAGATGGTGGGTGATGTATGATTCAACTTTGGCGCGATGATCCTGACTGGGGTACCTGCAATGACACTTCGGCGCTGAAGTCAAAAAAAAATATATCAGGTTTTATGTGTATTCTTACTGAATTAGATTGTTATACCTGGGCATGTACCCTGTGTTTATATAGTGAATATGATGCTGCCTTAAGTAGGCGGTATGACTTCTGATTGGCTGTTCCTGGACTGCAAGTTCAGCTGGTGCTTCTATAGCCTTATCTCATTATGCCAGGCTATCTTGATAGAGTGGTGGCAAGAGGATGTTGTCTTCTGTTTATTTGTTCAATGGCACGGTGGATCTTTATTAGTTCTTGTGATTGCTTCCTTATCTATGAAGTTATGCTGAAGGTCCATCACGCCCTCTAATGTGCGATTTGATGACATCATACCTCATTTTGGACCTGGTGGGCTTGGGCCTTGTTCTATAAATTTGGGTCTTTGATGGGCCTATCATATTTTATCCAGATCACCTAGCCTTATGTACTCCAAAATAATATCACCTTAACTTATATAAATCAAAGTGATAAAAAAAATAGTTAGTTTTATTTTACTTGCTTTGTCTTATATAAATCACGACATTCTCGAATATCCTATAACAACTGTTTTAGCCAGATCTCATGATGATACAATTTTTTTTACTAGACTCGCGAAAAAATTTGTAAATTAATTCAGGACAAGATCAGTGATTAGTTTATTAAAAAATACTAATCAATTTTATTTTTATTTTTTTGTTGGTCTTTCTGATGGCAAATGTCAATGAATTTATGCTGTGGTATATGGTACATGAAATAAACTCTTTGATGATCAACTTCTGTCGTCGCTTTGGGTTCAGGTATGCTCTACTTTCAACAATCTTTATCCACATAATTGAGATGATTTTAATACCATTTAGGATCCCTTAGTTTTACGTTTAACCAAACGATAAAATGAATAAACAATCCTTCAACTTTGTCTTGTGAAATTAAAACACCTCTCAGGTTCTAATTGTTTCAATCGCACGCCTTGTACTATATGTATTGATTATTTCAATAGACCGGTAAAAAATTTCTTTTAACTATATGTTATCGTCATTTCATTACTCATTGAATCTAAGTTATGTAATTGCAACAGTTGAAACTGAAGATAACTTTACAACCCAAATTTTAAATATTTTTATATACTTTACCAAAATATAAAGCAGCGGGAGGATGGTCGTGATCAATCACGTGTTCCTCATAGAATAATACTTACAACACAAATACATTCACAATTTTAAACAATGATACAATCATACAAATGAGTTCAATAATTGCTACTAATAGGAGCATAACATTAGGAATCTTTTTAAAATAAACTTTGTCTTATATGAGTGACAAAAGATATATTCATTCATGATTTAATCAACTAAAAAATATATATTTATTTAATTATTTTAAGTCAGACTCAAAAAAAAAATTAAATACCTAAATTGTAATATGTCTAGATCATTATTTGTTACTCAAATTCACTAGTCCATATCGATAAACTATTCCAATGAAGTTCCTAAGTTTTCTTTTTAAAAGAAAAATATAAGACAGTCAAATCCTCAGCGCCATTTCACCGGGTCCTGCTCCATTAAAAGAGGTTTCATATCAGCATTTTTATTTAATTATTTGATAGATTCTGTAATTTAAACTCAGGTTTAAAATACTAAGAATATTGCATTTTGAAACAATCAATGTTTTTTTACCTCGATATTTCAACAATTCTTTAAAAATTTTGTATTTTGTTCGCAATATTTCAACAATTCTTAAATGCACAACCTCGAAGAAGACTTCAACCGAGTACTAACGATATGGTAATGAAGGCTTCATTGGATTGTGTATCTATGCGAATTATGAGGCTCTGTTCGTGTAATTGTTATAACCAGTTAAACTAATCAAGAGACAGGACCAATAAGTGACCCAAGAAGAGAAAAGTGTAAAATAAGTGACCCAAGACTTGAATTGATAATCCAATCCTGAAGCCTCCGGTTATAGTATTGATAAATTATAACATAGTTCTGTGTTTAATCATAGTAACGGGGGGACATTGATCCCACCTTCATGTCGACGTATGTGGCCCGTTCCCTTCTTGATCAACAAGTATTTCCTCCACCTTTTGATTCACTTGAGGTTTTGACTCTTTTTCTTCAACTGTAAGTGCCCTCTGGTCTGCTGTCTGAATAACTTGTGGTTCACTCGGGATGCATGGCCTCCAAAATGTTTCGTTCCCCACATCCATAAGTGAAATGCCCTTTGCAGTCAAATCATTCCTAATCTTATCACTCTTGGGGAAATCCTTACTCTTCCTAGCTTGAGCTCTTTCTTCTATCAGATGTAACACTTCATCTTCTGCCAAACCTGCTCTCTTCAATGCCTTATCTTTAAACTCCTGCAGAACCTGATGAATAAATAACAATTATTATACATTAATGACGGCTTTCTAAAAGAATAGTTCTCTCTTAAGATTATACACAACAGACAAGCAAGCTCGTCTTAATAACATAAAATTTGTCACCTCGGCGTAGGATTTAGTGGACAATAATCCTAGTACGTCCAAAACTTTTCCAACTTCCTTCTCCACTTCCAATAGGGATTGAATCAACTGCAACTGTGCCCTTTTCTGCATCTTTTTCTGGAAGATACCAAATATATATTTCATAATTTAGCGGTGCATCTAAGACAGATGAAAAAGCATGTGGCTCTAAGGCATACAATACGAGAAACTGGTTCCAAATACATACCTTCAGCATCATCAAAGAACTGTTCACAAACTTCAAGGCCTCTTGGAGAGCACCAGTTAGTATTACTGGTGTTTGCAAGTCGTCTGACATTTTTGTTTGAAACTCAACATGCAACTTCTTAATACAATCCTTGGCAGCCTGATTAACTTGAGGCACATTTGCATTGTTCTCGGTGCTCCCTTGTACAAATGATGATAAAGCATCTTTACAATCTTGAAGTGTCTAACAACCAAAAGAACAAAATCCTTCTCGTAGTTAAGGACATCGCACAAGTTAAAAGAAGCTGTTTTGAACAATGTCCCTAGAGTAATGGCATCAACTAAGCCTTACAATATTGCAGACAGGTATCCGTAGCTATAATACTTAATGTCAATAGATCCGAGTCATAGCAAAATTGTGGTAGAGTTGACAGAATTTATTCTTGCAGCAAGACTGCCACCAAACCCTGATAAACAAGACTTGGTTTTATGTAATTATACCTTTTCCCTTGTTTTACTAACAAGTTATAACAGGTACACCACGAAGGCCAATATTGTCATGTGTAATGACTCATAAGAGTCATTCTTGAAGAATTTGGACATGTAATATAGTCTGACACAAACACATACATACAGAGAGAGGGGAAACAATTTTCATTGCAGAATATAAGTAAATATCTTCTTTCTAGAAACAATTAAGTAGTAGGAAAGAAGCACTGGCATTCTATCTCCAAGGCATGCTTAACTTAATCGTAGTAGTATAGGATATGAAATGTCAAAAACCATTAACAAAAATGGTGACATTTTCAGATTACAAAATGACAAAACTGTGTCAACCTTGAGAGATGAAGTCGCCAATCAACTTCTAAGCAATGAATCAGAATTTGATACAGATTATTTAGAGGCTCCTTACCTGAAATATATAATAAATAGCATCGGATGAACTCTCCAGCTGTGAGACAGAGTAATTTAGCGGAGATCTGTAATGGGCACTTATTAGAAAGTGTCTCAAAGCAAGTGGATGGTAACGCTCCGTGATCTGCAAGAGAAAAAAAAAAATCATGAAACATATGCACAAGCACAACAAATCTTTTAAGAGACTTCTACCGTGCAAAACCTTCTACAAATATCTAAACAGGAATTAAAAAAAGTTGCTTAAGGACTAACCTGGCGAATAGTGAAGAAGTTTCCCAAGGATTTTGACATCTTCTCATTGTTATTGGTGACATGCCCATTATGCATCCAATAACTGACATTGCTCTCAGTGTCTGCAGCCCAGCTCTGTGCAATCTCATTTTCATGATGAGGAAAGATTAAATCAATTCCACCACCATGAATATCAAATTTATGAGTTAAATAACAAGCACTCATTGCACTGCATTCAATGTGCCACCCAGGCCTTCCAGGACCCCAAGGGCTGTCCCAGCTAGGTTCACCTGGCTTAGCAGCCTGCAATTATTATTAAGAAATAAGAGAGATTCCAAACTGTTACTGAAAATATGTTAAAATAACTGGTAAAGGTTCTCACCTTCCACAATGCAAAATCAGCCGGGTGATGCTTTCTCGAGTCCACAGCAACTCGTTCCCCAGCTCTATTATGTTCTAGCCTTTGTCCAGAAAGCATGCCATAACTTGGGAATTTATCAACAGCATAGTAAACATCACCATCAACTTCGTATGCATAGCCATTGTTGATAATCTGCATACTACATTAATGATTAACCACCTTTTGAATTCTAAATTAATTCCCTAGAACTAAAGGCAAACATGCCACAACCAAATCCAATGCTTCAATTCCATACATATTGAAGAAAATGACATGCAACCTCAACTAAACATATTTCCTAACAAATAAAATATCATCTACTCCAGAAAGCTGAGTTTATCATCATTTGAAACCTCAGATGTTTCACTTGGAGATCCCATACCTCTTAACATAAAAAAATTACTATGCCTGGCCCTTTTTCCTTTTGCATTTTAAGTTCCTGCTAAATTTGAATCTTTTATTCACGAGTTAAAGAGATAAATTATCATAATAGGGCATACACTGCTGGAATATTGAAAAAGAAAGAACTTATTATTTGATTTAAAACTGAAAGGTTCAATAATTTGAGATTGGAGGGGAGAAGCTGAGCAGGAGTGCGGAATATCCAAATTCATTCTCACTAGAATAATGGACGGTGAGTGAGTACCATACAAGTCTTTTTATAAAAAAGACACAAAATAGCATAGAGCAAACAGATCATCTTATTAAAAAAATGTAACTTATCTGTCACAACTCACAAGCAATATATAAATTCCAAATACACTTATTGAAAAAAAGGTTGTAACTAATACAAAACAGCATGCAAAACTGTCAAAACAATGGAATTCCATTGCAACAGAAGTGCTGCAAAAAGGAATATTTTTAATCTCAGAAGATTCCCTTAAAAGTTTCAAATAAAAGCAAAAGACAGCAATCTTAATAGCAAAGTTAAACCTGGGTTATCATGTCCTTTATCTTGTCAATGTGATCAGAAACACGAGGCTCCGTAGATGGTCTCTCACACTGAAGATCAGTCATATCAATAACATATTCATCGCAAAAACGGTTGCTTAACATCAAAGGATCCTCACCAGTCTCATTTGCCCGCTTAATTATCTGCAGCAATTCTAGTATTAGCAGTCACTAATAAGCATTAAAGAATCATAAAAGAAACTCATGTAAAATAATCAGGTCTAATGTGTATGTTTTGTAGGACAAATGAACTTGGTGAAACTTCAAACAGTAAGAGAAAGTTATCATGAATCAAGCAGGAACACCAACATTACTAAAAATAGGCTCATCATTCAAATTCAAAAGGACAACACACCAAAGTGAAGAAATAATATAATAATATGAAGAACAACAACAACAACATTGAAATAAGCATGATTCAAGGAAAAAGAAACCTCCATTTTGAAGACTACGTTTGAATTATTATTACAAAGGATGATGCCCCATTTAGAATCTGGAAAAGTAACGTACCTCACAATGGAGAATGGTTTATTAAGTTTAAACCACATAAAGCAAGTTCTAGTTAATAAGAGATTAGATCTCAATGCATTTTTGAATCCAATTGAAATTTTTTTAGTAGAAAATAGCACTAGATAAAAGAAAATATGCCATAGCACTTGAATATAAAATAATATGTTGTGTATTGATCTAATTCAGAGAGTTACAATATATAGAGACTCTAATGGGCTTATATGAAAGGCCCGGACGTAATACAATCAGAATAATTACAGACTCTAATCATATCTAATCAGACTAATCATATCTAATATATTCTAACACTCCCCCTCAAGCTGGTGCGTATATATTGTGAGCACCAAGCTTGTTACAAATGTATTGAACCCGAGGACCTCTAAGAGCTTTAGTGAAGACTCATCCGCTAGTTGATCAGAGGAGTTGACGAAAGCAGTCTTGATTTCTCCTGATTGAATCTTTTCTCGAATGAAGTGACAATCGATCTCTATATGTTTGGTCCTCTCATGAAAGACAGGATTAGAGGATATATGTAGCGCAGCTTTATTATCACAGATGAGTGTCATGGTTGTTTCTGTTCACAAAGATGAAGCTCTTGAATCAACTGCTTTAACCAGATTAACTCACAGGTACTATTTGTCATTGCACGATACTCAGCTTCTGCACTAGACCGAGCAACTACAGGTTGTTTCTTGCTCTTCCACGAAATTAAGTTTCCTCCAAAGAAGACACAATAGCCGGAAGTAGAGCGCCTGTCCGAGGGTGATCCTGCCCAATCAGCATCTGAATAACCACAAATTTATGTATTTCCCTGATCTGAATACAACAAACCTTTTCCTGGTGCTCCTTTGATGTATCGGAGGATCCTCACAGCAGCATCTCAATGTGAATCACAAGGGGAATCAAGGAACTGACTAGCCATACTAACAGCGAAAGAAATATCTGGCCTAGTCACAATAAGATAATTGAGCTTCCCAATTAGCCTCCGATTACGTCCAGGATCAGATAACAGCTCCCCCTGTCCGGGCAATAACTTGACATTAGGATCCATGGGTGTATCAACTGGTTTACTCCCCAACATACCAGTTTCTTCGAGGATATCCAAGGCATATTTCCTTTGACAAATAGAAATGCCCTGTCTAGATTGCGCCACCTCAATTCCCAAGAAGTAACGCAGCTTCCCAAGGTCCTTTGTTTGAAATGCACTGAATAAATGCTGTTTTAACTGACGAATTCCGTCTTGATCACTTCCGGTGAGAATGATGTCGTCAACATAGACTAACAAATAGATGCACTTGTCAGGAGATGTAATCCTATAAAATACAGAATGATCAACTTTACTGCGGATTAAGCCAAACGCCTGAACGGCAGAACTGAAGCAACTGAACCATGCTCGAGGAGATTGCTTGAGACCATATAAGGATTTTCGAAGATGACACACTTTTCCAGACTCCCCCTGAGCAACAAAACCAGGTGGTTGCATGTAAACTTCCTCTTGCAAATCACCAAGAAGAAAGGCATTTTTGATGTCAAGTTGAAGGAGTGGCCAGTGACGAACAGCAGCAAGGGCAAGAAATAGGCGGACTGACGCCATCTTAGCGATCGGAGAGAATGTATCGCCATAATCAAGGCCAAAGATTTGAGTAAAGCCCTTGGCAACTAGGCGTGCCTTGAGTCTATCAACATGACCATCAGGTCCAACTTTTACAGTAAACACCCAGCAACAACCAACTATAGACTTCTCTGGAGGAGCAGAAACAAGGTCCCAAGTGCCATTGGAATGAAGTGCAGTCATCTCATCAAGCATCGCTTGGCGCCACCCTGGATGGGAAAGTGCTTCACCTGTGGTTTTGGGAATAGAAATAGAAGAAAGACTAGAAACAAAGGTGAAATGAGGTGAAGAAAGACGGTCATAGCTCAAAAAGGTATAAAGAGGATAAGGGTTACGAGTAGTACGTGTACCTTTTCTTTGAGCAATAGGAAGAGCCTCTGGTGAAGGATCCGGAGGGGAAGAATCAACTACAGTGGGCAATGAGTCAGCAGGAGTCGAGTCGACAGAAGGCACAGTTTTACGACGCTGATAAGTGAGAAGTGGACGGTCCGCAGGTATTGAAGCAATAGGTTGCTTATCTGGAATAGAAGTACTTGCAGCTGGCAAAGACAAGTCAAGAAAAAGGACAGGAAGAACATGATCAACTTGTGACAACTGAGATGGGATAGAATAAAAGGTTTGTTGATCAAGAAAAGTGACATCAGCGGAAACTAAGTAACGCTTAAGATCTGGAGAATAACAACGATAACCTTTTTGAAGACGAGAATAACCAAGAAAAATACATTTAAAAGCTTTGGATGTTAACTTGTCTATACCAGGGGTTAGATCATGAACAAAACAGGTACAACCAAAGACATGTGGGAATAGAGGATAGAGAGGAACATCTGGAAGCAATAAGTGATAAGGAATGTCATTATCAAGCACAGATGAAGGCATACGGTTGATGAGAAAAGAAGAGGCAAGGACTGCATCGGCCCAGAAGTGAAGAGGAACATGCATGTGAATAAGAAGAGTTTGTGCAGTCTCAATGAGGTGTCTATTCTTACGTTCAGCTACTCCATTTCGTTGTGGAGTGTGAGGACAAGTAGTTTGGTGTAAAGTACTATGTTTGGCTAAGAAATTAGAAAAGTCCACAAAAACATATTCCTTAGCATTATCACTACGTAAAATACTAATAGAGGCACCAAATTGAGTATGAATTTCAACATAAAATTTTTGATAAATAGAAAACAACTCAGAACGGTTTTTCATTAAATAGATCCAAGTACAACGAGAAAAATCATCAATAAAGGTAACAAAATACTGAAAACCTAAAACAGACACACTACGACTAGGACCCCAAATATCTGAATGAATAATTGAAAAAAGAGCATCAGCTCGTTTATTGACTCGATTAGTGAAGGAGGAGTGTATGTGTTTTCCTTGCTGACATGACTGACAATCTAAAGTCTGAAGATCGGACAAAAGACGAACCATCTTCTGTAACTTGGAAAGACTAGGATGCCCGAGGCGACTGTGGATGAGTTGTGGAGATTCTGCGAGAGAACAAGCAACGGAAGGACTCGTCACAACCAGGTAGAACAGACCCCGTGACTCACAACCCACTCCAATCGTCTTCCCCGTACCTGGATCCTGCACAGAAACAGAATGATTTGAGAAAGTGACAATACAGTTAAGAGAGTTGATCAATTTACTAACAGATATTAAATTGTAAGGGATGTTAGGAATGTAATAGACAGATGTTAAGGTCAATGAGGAGGTTGGACAGATTTGTCCAATTCCATGAACAGGAGCCTTAGTGCCATCAGCAAGGGTAAAAGAGGGTAAGTTATCAGAATATGTAAGGGATGAAAAGAGTTCCTTATTACCACAGAGGTGATCAGTAGCACCTGAGTCAAATATCCAAGGGCCAAGTGATGCAGAATGAGAAACACAAGCAACGGGATTACCAGTTTCTGAAGCAAAGGCCTGCGACTGAGGAGAGACCTTTCTGAGAAGAGTCTAGAATGCTGCATAGTCTTCAGAGGAGAGAGAGAGTGTACCATTTGAAGCAGAATCCGATTGAGCTACATTAGCAGCATAAGAAGGTCGCAGGTGAGGGTACTTTGTGTAGCAACGTTCCTCATAATGACCAAGTTGCTGACAGTAATTACAACGAGGTCGCTGACCACGTCCAACTGGGCCTCCTGGGCCACGTCCTCCTGGGGCTCCTGGGCCACGTCCTCCTGGGGCTCCTGGACCACGTCCTCCCGGGCCTCTACCACGACCACGTCCACCTCCAATGTTCCCGCGAAAGTCAGTACGGGAAACTAGAGTAGTAGAATCAACAGCAGAAGATGATGCAGGAGCAGATTTCTTATTCAGATTCAGAAGACGCTGATACGTCATTGAAAGATCAGGCTCCCCACTAGTCAAGATAGTATCCCGGACATTATCATATTCTTCAGGGAGGCCAGACAGTGTGGCAACCATAAAGAGGCGTTCCACCTGTTTCCGATATGCAGTAGCATCAGTAGGGTAAGGCAGCATATCCAAATATGCAGATCGACTATTGCCAAC